GTTGAGGCACAGCCAAGACCTCCCAGTGGATGCAGAGGAAGTGAACTGCTGAAGCAAAAGAGTGAAGCAGTGGGGAACGTGGACAGACCAGTCTCTTCCCATTCAACAGTTTTTATCTACCTGGCATTTAATACAGCCAGCCTTTCCCTGAGGCCCACTGTAAAGGAACACAGTAACTGATACTGTTAGATTACACCTATCCATCTGATCCCATCTCTTTTTTCTTGAGAACAGCCAAGACCAGCAAAGGGATACGAAAGGAAAGCAGACTATTGCAATAAAATGTCCACAGAAATGTGTCTTCATATAAGTAGCTGTCTGTCTTATGCTCCAATGCACAATCCTTTACAAACCACCTTTCAGATGCTCATTTGGGATATTTATGTTACCTACATATATCTGCAATTCAGGCTTTAAATCCTACAAACTTCTTGCCATAGTGCGAATCAGGCTGGCTACATGCATGTAAAATTACAGTATTTTCCAAATATATTATTTTCTTCTGTATTATATTTGTCTTGCCTATATTCTTTGCTAGAGTCAGATGGAGTCAGAGAGCCTCCATGGAGTCAGGAAGAAGTAAAGAACAAAAAGGGATGCTGTGCCTTGCACTGCTGGTGACTATGTTAGGTTCAAAGTCAATCTTGTATTCTTCCGAAGCGGACTCTACCACCCCCAAATATTCCCCTTCCATTCACTGCACCTCCTGTAATCATTAGTTGTCTCTGTAGCCCTGTAGTTTCCCTTTCTTATGTTTTATTTTTCAAAAGATTAAACAGTAAAGAAACATTCATTTCAGTTTTGATTGACAATCATTATTTTGTATGTCTCCCTTCTAGTAAGCTTTCAGGCTCGCAATACTTAGGGACTGGGAAATGCTAAACTGGTTTTGATGAAACGGTCTAAAAGAAAGTTGTCTGAGTACCTCCAGTGGGCTCCTCCAACATCTAAAAGTTCTGCTAAAATTTCAACTGAAATTCTGGCTCCCTATCTGAAGAATCTGGATCTGGTTTATTGTGTTGCTTATTCTGGGGCACCCAAAGCTATTGCAACTTTTAAGAAAGGTGCCTATTGGCACAGAATCTGAACAGAAGTGAAATCATAGTCTAGTCCTTGCCTTACAGTTTCTTGTTTCTCTGTATTAAAAATAGCAACACGGAGAGAGAGACTGAGATGCAGGCCAGTAAGACCACTTTGTAGACAGCCTAGTATGTGACTAGCATCCCAAGGAACCCAGCTAAATTTGCTTTAATCCCTGCATCACAATATATACATATATATCAGCAAAGAATTGTGTGGAAGATTTCCGACCTGTGCAATATGCACTAGACAGTTCCCAGACACAAATTAGATTTGTGCATCTACCTATCCATCACTTTTCAATACAAACAACAAGACAGCGAGGACAGTACATAATTTTAAAACATATTCAGTTATGGAGCATTGATGACCTTTTTAAGAAGACAACTAAATTCTGTCCTTCAAGCACACACACTTAAAAATTATTTGAAAGGTTTTTCAGTGTGCTTGTGCAAGGCCCTTTGCACTGATACCTATTCTGTCAAAGCAAAACAGCCTGCAAAATTAGGTGCTGAGATTTCAAGACAGACTTATGAGTTCCACTCCAAAGAATAACAAAGATAAAAAACGTTTATTGCATGGCTTAAAAAAATATTATTGCCTCATTTAACAATTTCTTCATCTTTCTTTAATAAATCTCTTTTTTTTTTTTTTTTTGGCAGTTTTTTCCCTGTCCTACTGAAAACCATTGTATAGGTGGCTGGAAGCAGATTGGTCTAACTTCACCCCTTAACACTTCTAAGTGGTTTTGGATATGTGGTTAGCCCAGACCTTTCTGGCTGTTTTTCTGGAAACTCCAATGAAATTTAACCAGGCACCATGGTAATTTTCTTTATGATGTCAGTCATGTAAGCAAACAGTATTCAAGATCAGTCCTAAGTTTTTGTGTATACCAGTCAAGGATCAGGGTCTGTAGAGAGCAGTTCTTTGGTGCAAGAGTTCTGAATCTTTTGCAGCGGCTTTTCGCTGCCAGTAGTACTCAGGACTGTAAAATCTTCTTGCATTTGTTGTCCCCTTGTTACATACAAAAAAGTAATGGGCAAGGAGGTAAAGGGCACCAATCAATATTACCATCTTTAAAGGAACAACATTGTATTTCATTATATTCACTAATGTGTTACCACTATCTTGGTGTATTGATTATAGTTCTCCATGGCTAGTAGTAATCAGATACATTTTCAGTGTATGCTTGTATAACCCTTAGTTTATGACTGATAAGGTATTTATTGATTAGTAATCAGATACAAACAGACAGTATGAAAATTAATGTCAATTGCTACTTTACATATTTAGTCAACATTTTGTTTCTCTGCACACGATTCCAGAACATTGTGTTCAATGCCGTATGTATATGGACATCAGATAATATGCAGTCACCCCTCTCTGCCTTTGTTTTAATCTCAAAAAATGTATTTATTCAATAGCACTTCAAGATCCCTCAGAAGAACTATACCATATGTTGGCAGTGTACTTCTGGCACACACTGCTCCCTCAGGCTACTAGCAGATTGAGGTGAGATGGTAGGTTGCCAGTGTCAAGCGATGATTTCCTAAGGCAGGGACCTAACAACCACCATTTAAAGGGTAAGGGCACCCTACAGTCTCATAAGAACAATATTATTAATGTCACAACAAAGTACCTCACCTCTAGGACTGCTAGTAATTAAGGGCACTGGAATAATAATAATAGACTCAGTCTGTCTTGAAATCCTACGCAGTTTCAGTACGTGCTGCATATACCAAATTTAGATATCCAAAACACAGAGTTCTTAAGTTAAAATATTGAATGTGGCCCACTGAAACAGTGTAACAATCCTTACAGAAATCCTTTTTCACCTCTTCTCTCACTGGAGCATAACGAAAACCAATATAGCTACTAAGGAGTTCCTGACGCTCCAGCCAGCAGAGGGCACTGACGACACAGGCAGACACTGGCGGGTACATTGCATTGCTTTCACCGTAAAGTTCAATCCAATCTCTCTATTCTCTTTGACAAAGCACCTGCTTGACTCTGGCCTACAAACAGAAAACACAACTAGTTTCTCACTAATGCAGTGCCTCATTAGCAGAAAAGATGTGTGGCTTATTCTACGGGTTTTTTTTCCTCAAACACCTGGTATATCAGGACTGAAAATACCAGAGAGAGGCATCACCTCTTCTCATGATCTCCACTGGGGGGGATTTCATTCAGCTGAAGGCTTCTTCTTATTAAGATCTTCATCTGTCACTGAAAACCACCCTAACCCTTAAACTACAGATAATGTGATCTGATCTCTTTGGTACCACTCCAAACTAGAGATGTGGGTCCCAAACATCTTGTTTCTCCCCAGATGTGGAAATATCTGGATAGTCAGTGTTGGTTCAGTCAAGCTTTGCTGAACATGTATTGCATCAACACCGTTGTCACCTGAAATGTAAGATACATTGTTATACTTTTTCATAGCATAAATAAGCCTCTGCAGTGGAGTAAGCTGCTTTACTATCACTTCATCCACAAAGCGCTTGAAAGACTCAATGATCCCATAACACTGCTGAGCTGGTCCTTAAGTGTGTAAATCTCTATAGGCAAGACAGGAAAGTGAAATACTTGATCAATTGTCAAATGTTTCCCAGAGATTAAGTGGCTTGTCTACCGTCACACTGAATAGTGAATTGTGGCCTTCTGTGCTCCAGCTTTTATCTACAAGAACATACATCCTCTGAGCTGCTAATGGTAGCAAGGTAGCAATACTGTATTTTTACATACAATATTATCAAACTGTCTGCAAAGTAAAGAATTGTCCTTCATAATAATTTAGTTTTGCAAAGGATATATCAGATTTTAGATCAATTTAACAGATCTTTTAACTTGGACAAACTCCAAGACTTGTTCATATATTGTATTTTGACCTCCTAGACACTGTAAAAGACTTCATTCAGTGTACAGATGAATTAATGGTTTAGATTTATCAGCCCATCTTCTGCTGGATATGACAGAAATTTATTTTTTCCAGAATATGTTACTGTATCTGCAATATATTGCTTCTTTAAGCTCCTGCCACTAGGAGCCTTCTATTGAAGAATTAAAAACTCTTCAAAAAAGTCTTGGAAAATCAGAGACTGCTCAATTTCATACAAGTTTTCCCCCATTCAGTAATCTGAGCCACTCAGAAACCACTCTCACAAATGGACTGTCTTTATTCTGCACGTTGCCACCTGGGTGACATGTGGAGATGGGAGAAATTATTATATTTTTCAGTTTTTAAGGCACCCAGAAACACTTCACCTATTCACTGAAAATCTATAATTGCTTTGGCTGAAACAAGCTTTTAAAAATAACAAGATTGACAAACAATACTGTGTTGCCAGTGAATTATTTCCTGGTCCTTTTACCCATGCAATCAGAATAATTCATTTCCTCAATGTCAACCTTTTGACCCATGTCTCCACTGATCCCCCAGTTATATTTACCATAAACAGTAACTGGTGAGTAAACTTGTGACCAGTGCCTGAGGATGTATGTATGTAATGAATGGCCATCTGGCTGCTACCAAGAGGCAAGTAAAAGAGCAGAGTTCTGCTACACTCTCTCTCAATGCAGGATCTGATCAGGTTCTTTTTTCAACATGCCACCCATTTGCAAGAAACTTTGAGAGCTCTACCATGCTCTGAAACTGCTGGAGACACCCATCACTGACTCAGTTTTAACACAGACATACAAAATTCTGACTGTAACCCAAACCACCAGTGCTAGGCTATAGCATTAGGACAAAAGGACTACCTGTGTCAAGAGCAGAATCTTATGAAACTAGGGAAAAAAACCCAACCACCCAATTCCTTTTGTTTGTTTGGGCCTGGCTACTTAAATGTGTCTGCTTTCCTCAAGACTTTGTATTAAGAGAAGCAATGAAAAATAACTCCCTTACACTACTGATTAGGTAGCAGTGTCCAATTTCCTTCTGGAAATGTTCAATTAAATTTACAAGAGTAAATAAATGAGTATCTGTAAAAGAAAAAAATTAAAAAAAAAAAAAATCTTAGCATTACCCTATGAGTCACTTTTACTGTATCTACAACGAGAGCATGAAAAAGCATAAAGCTTTTCACTTCTGCAGCTAGCTCAGAACCAATTGCTCTTGACAGCACAGTCACAAGAGCGTCCAGTTTCTGTGACCTGACTGATGTAACCAACTAGGTTTAACACAAATTGCATTCTCCCAAATGCTGAATTATGTCTCTAAAAAGGGCATGAAAAAGTAATTTCAAAATGTTTTGATGAATTTGCTTTGTTTCAATAGTATAAGTATCCATACTAAATTTTTGAATTGCCTTGTTTATACCTCTGTGAAGGTCCTTCATCAAGCAAAACCACCAGCATTGTAATCTTCTAGAGCATCATGTATAATTTCAGTGATGGATCCAGGTTAAATGCTAGCTCTGCAGCTACAGAGAAACACAGCCTTTCTCTTAATGGTGTGTGGCAAGACTGTATGCTAAATGTTCTTTATCTAGTAGGTAGAAGATTCCTGGTGAAGTGGCATGTCCTGTCATTGCCCGCTATACAAAACCACTGTCACAACCATCTCTTGTTGAGGCAAGGAAGCATGCTAATAGAGACTCACCAAAAATTGTTGAAAAAGAACCCAAACAAACCCACAGTAAACCTTGAATGAAACACTTCTCCTATGAGGAAAGGCTGAGAGAGCTGGGGTTGTTCAGCTTGGAGAAGACTACAGGGAGACCTTATTTTGACTTTTCAGTTCTTAAAAGGGGCCTATTAGAAAAATGGGGAAAGATTTCTTAGCAGGGCCTGTTGCGGCAGCATGAGGGGCAATTATTTTAAACTAGAAGAGGGGAGATTCAGGCTGGAAGAGAGGAAGAAATTTTTACAGTGAAGGGGGTAAAACACTGGAGCAGGTTGCCCAGAGAGGTGATGGATGCGCCATCCCTGGAGACATTCAGGGCCAGGCTGGATGTGGTTCTGGACAACCTAGTCTAGTGCAAGATGTCCCTGCTCATTGCAGGCGGTTGGATCAGACGCACTTTGAACTCCCTTCTAAACCAAACCACTCTGTGATTCTGTGATGACCTGTTCCTACACGATAAACCAGTTCAAGAGTATCATAAAGACTGGAGGTCCAGGAGTGTGAGAACTGCCACCACTGCAGGTGAAGGCCCTACAGCACCGATGCTGTCAAGAAGATGTAAATCCCACTAACTCTCTCTCATGAGCCAGCGGTGCACACGTGGCCCTGGCCCAACCGTTGTGTGCACGGTGCTGGACGGACAGCCCACAGCGGCAGACCTATGCCGGGCCACCGCGGCCTGCCACACTCCTGCCAGGGACCAGCTGTTCACCTCACACCGCGCTGCCGGGAGCCACCCCGCTGCTCCCCGGAGACTGCGGTGCCTCCATGCGACCACCTCGGGCCCGTAAGGCCCGTGGGATGCCCCACCGCCCGCTATTCCATGCGAGAGCTGCCTCGCCCGTGTGCACCCCCTGCCCTCGCTGCGAACACGGCCACGGCCACGGCCACGGCCCTTTACCCTGCGGACACCGCCCCACCCGGCCCCGGCCACCTCCCGGCCCTGCCTCACGCTCCCCGCCCCCGGCCGGGCCAAACCCCTCCCCCGTCTGCAGCAAGTGGCAGCGGGAAGGGCGGCGGCGCCATCACGTGAGGGTCGTGCCTGCGCCCGGTCTCCGCGCAGCCTCGCCGCCGTCGACCCCGGCCCGGTCCCCAGCTCCGCCGCGCCTCGCCCCGCGCTCCCATGCCCAGCAGTGAGGCGGTGCCGCTGGGGCTGGGCGCCTGCCGCAGGTCGGGGGCGCTGGGCGGGATGCTGGCGCTGGTGGCGCGGGTGCTGGAGTGGCTGCGGTCGCTGTTCTGGAAGGAGGAGATGGAGCTCACCCTGGTGGGGCTGCAGTACTCGGGCAAGACCACGCTGCTCACCGTGCTGGCGGTACGCGGCCCCCGGGCGCAGGGGCACGGCGGGGGGCACGCAGGGCGGCGGCCCGCGGCGGGGAAACGGTGGCCGTGGGCGGTGAGGCAAGGGCCCGGCGGTGGGGCCTGGCTGGAGGGGGCCGCCCCTCCCACCTCGCTTCGCCTCCGGCAACAAGTGCGGGCTTTGCCCCCGCCGCGGTGCTGCCGCCTGTCGTGAAGCCCCGCGGTGCGCTGCGGGGAGGGGGGCGGCGGGCGTGAGGCAGCTCCCGCATAGCTGGCAGCCTCGGGAATTTCACAGCAGGATCGGGTGCGTGTGAAATAGGAGAGGGGGGGGGAGAAAGAAAATGTCTCCTCTGCTGATCGCAGAGCGTGCCCGTTCTGGGCATGGGCTCTTGCTTGTGATTTAATTGGGTTTCCATGGCCAGTGTATTCCAGAGTAACTCAGAATGTATCCTGCATCCTCCAAGGCCACAACTCCCTTGTCAACTGAATTCTTCCCTCCCATCAGTTGCATCAAGATTAATGCCGCACATGATTCCTTGGTAACTCTTTTCCCAGCATTCCATGTCTGAATTTGGCGTTCCGTTCCCACTGTGGTGATGGCCTTGCAGCCTTGTTCCCCTCTAATGCTGATGCTTCCTATGGCGTTTTTCACTTTATTGCCATTTTTGTTTCTCATCTTTGTTTACTGTGCTCTCTGACCTTCATTTAGGTCCATCCTGAAGATTTACTTTCCATCGGAAAGTGGAAACAGCTATATATGTTAAGTATGGCTCCTATTAGTCAGGAAGCTTAGCACCTACTCTTGCTGCACATCTTGTCTGGTGAGATGTATTGCAGCTTCACCTGCCATGAGATAAAGGTTTCCAGATGTTCTTTAGCCCTTATCCTGAAAAGTTGCTAGGTCACGGATCAGACCAAACTGGGATGTGCATGACCTAAAGCTAAAAAGATTGAGGCGGTGATGACATGAGTATATGGTATTTGTTGTTTGCTTTTGCATATGATTCTGAGTTAAGGGAAAAACAGAAGATTGTAACTCAGTGCAAGTGAAGAGGTAGAGACAGAGTAGGAGATAAAGAAGTGGAGTAGGGAAAGTTTACCGTGAAAGTATGTTTTGGGGGGCATCAGCATTCAATAAGCAGAAAATACCTGGATTTAGTATGTTAGTTTGTTAGACACTCAGCACAGGCCTTATCACTCTTTGTGCCCCTTGGAAGTGTTCATCTCCAAAGGACAGGCTTTGCTGAGTACGGGGGAAAAGGCATGATAAGTTGCATTGCTTCTTGGATTGATTTCATAAATGGAGCAAAGAAGAATACAACACTTCAGAGACCTTGGTTACAGTTGTGTGTAGTGTTAGATTTTGTGCCTGTAACTGCTTGTCCACTCACTTACGTTAGACCACCAGTGGGATGGCATTGTATGTTTGTGTCTCTCTCATGCTAATACCTTGAACAGCCGAGCACTGCTGTTACTACAGGTCTGATTTTGCCAGTATATGTATTATTAAAAGTATTCTGCCAGGCATCCATGTTCTGTGACATCTAGAGTGTCACAGACTGCAGGTTTTGTAGCTTTTGTATTTTTCAGTCTGGAGATGACACACCATGATAATCAACAAAGGTGGTTAAAGAATTTGTGAGTAAACAGTTTAAGATAAGGCAATGGCTAATAGCTTACGCTTGAATACAGTTTTATGGGGATGGCAAATAGACTGGGAACTCTGTGTCTATGTGGCTAGAATGTGTCAAGATGAAACTAACCATTACAAAACAGTGGATACTTAAAATGCAAACTGCAATGGATCATATAAACAAGTGTTAAGAAAATACTGTATTTTTCCACTTTGCAAGTGCATTCAGGGATCTTATCAGACTAACACTGAATAAAAACCCTTTGAGACAGCCTTCTCCCTTAAGAATTTGAAGCATATGTAGTAGTCCTTTGTTACCAGTGGAAACCTTGGATAATGTCCCTGTGTGGTACTATGGCTCTGCACTAATATAATTGAGTAAAATCTGGCGCATGGCTATGGATGTGGTAGAGGGTAATGACAGTATTCATTGTCAAATCAATATTCAGCAACATTGAAAGGGGACAGCGTGTTGTAGCATCAGTTACTTTCATCTGTGTCAGGGTGTAATATCTTTTTTACTGAGATACAACCCTAAACTTGCTTGCACATCTTGAATATTCTCAAAATAGGTAATTTGTCATGTAAAACTTACTTAGCAAGCAAAATGGAACAGATTTCTTACTTTATGGTGCTTACAGCACTTGAAACAAAACACAGTAATTAGAGCTTTTGTACTAATGTGGGCAAAAGATTTGATATATTACTTTGTTTCCTTCATTGTGTGGGGAAAATAAAGAACTGTAAACATAATACTTTCTTTGTTGCTGTTTTCAGTCAACCAGAATGGAAAATTTGTAGAAGAAAAGACTAAAGACCAGTAAAAGGGACACTAATTCTTTGCATTCTGTTGCTGATACCAGAGCAGTTATGAAGGGTTTGGTTTTTTTTCTGATGCCTGTCTTCCAGTTTAGCATGTTACCTATGGTGTATAATTTGCTGACAGAGTGGAATCCTGACTTTCTATGAGTTTAAACAATAGCCTTCTGAGTTGGCTGGCTGTTTTTTGAGGCATTCTTGTGCTTGAGTAATGATGCTACATTCTCAGGGTTTATGTATTTCTATGTGTTTATACATCTGGCCTTCACAAATGTGCTTTATATTTTAAGACATTAAACCAGTGCGTACTACAGGAGATAGTTACTGATTGTCTTTGTCTTACTCCATCCAATTAAGAAGTTGTGTCACTGCTGGCTGCTTGTATTTGTATGAGGCTGCAGGTGCATTTGTCTTCACTGTTTTTTTATATTGCTGTTGACAAGTCACTGAAGCAAGGAAAGAGGAGAAAAAGAAAAAAAGGCTTTCAGAAACAAAAGACGAGGAGCATTGTGCAGAATAGCAAGGAGGTTCCCATAGGTGAGGTTGGACAAGTAACTGGTAGAAGAATCTAATTCTAAACTCCAGAATCTCTGGGGGGCTTAAGTACCTGTCAAAGGTTGTACAGCTTTTAAAATCCCAGATTAAAAATAATTAGTTTGTGAACACAAGCTAGAGGCATTGTGTGTTCTCACTCTGCCATTAACAGGGAAAACTTGCAGAAAGTATATAGAGACCAGCAATAGCACCAGGGTGAATTGGTGGCAGTGTGTGCTCTGTGAGGCCCATAGCTCCTGCAGTGCACAGTGAAGCTATGATCACCTACTTCTCAGATGGGAGAGATGTATTGGAACATGCCCATATTTTCTTCCAAGAAAATGCAAAGCCATGGCATATGGGATGATGAGGTGGCTGAAGGGAATATGGCCAGATATAGATGGAAGAATGCACCATGCCTGGGAGACACAATACCTTGTTAAAAATCCTTTTTGAAAAGAAAGAATGAATTATCCGCTAAGGTCTGAGTTCCACCTTTCTTCTCAAAAGCTGTCTTTTGTAGTGGGTACATGTGTGTAAGGTTCCCATTATAATGATGACAAGCATCTGTCTTGTAAAAACATTTCTTGAAACTGGGGGAGGAGGTAGCAATTTGATTTTATCTTTTGGGTTTATGCTGTGCTGAGTTAGTACCTTGTATTTTTCTATCTTTATGGCATTCTCTTAGCTTCCACAGCAGGATTCCTCTGCTGCCATCTACTTGGAAAGGGTCTGCACATAATACTTTCTACAAGAGTACTCCGTTGTCGTTTATTACACGTGAAGTTAAACCATTGGTAACAGTAGTGAGAAACTATAAGGAAAAATCCTGCCATAGTCAGTTTTATCGTATTTTATCATGTTGGGGGCTGGACTAGATGACCTTTAAAGGTCCTTTTCAAGCCAAACCATTCAATGGTTCTGTGATTCTCTATTTTGACCATGCTGCTTTCTGGCTTGCTGAAGGAGCAGATGAATTATCCAAGGTCTCATGGTTTCTGGGCTGACCTTTGTCACTGAGGAGAATAAAAGATCATTTGAAGGGCTGATATGAAGAGTCTTTCTTGGCGTGACAATGCATTAACATCAGTGCTGGCCGGTGCTCTTGCAGAAAATTAATGTGATATTTTACAGTGTTGTAAGATAAAAATTCTAGATTGCAAATGAGAAACTTATCTGCTGTGTATCAACTGTTTTATAATACTTTGTTCTTTTTCTTGTTTCTTTTTTTTTTTTTTTTGTATTCTAGTCAGGGCAGTTCACAGAAGATATGATTCCTACAGTAGGCTTCAATATGAGAAAAATAACAAAAGGAAATGTTACCATAAAGGTAGGTGTGCATGTTTGAAATAATAACTAATAGAGAAAGTGATTTCAATTTGGAATGTGAAAGGGTAAGAAATTTCTTTTAAGATAGTGGGATTATTTGTTTTTCTAGCTCAGAACTTTTAAAAGGCATATAGTTGTATATTTCTGTGTTAAATGAATCTAGAAATAATGAAATTTGATTTCATTATATCCGTGCCAGGCAGAAACTTTGTTGCACTCTTTTGGGTTAGAAAGGTCAGAACATTCTGGGATATTAAGGGGTTGGAATTGACTCCTGCAGGTGCCTTATTCTCTCTCTCCCCTTCACAACTCTTAAGTGAAGTCTGAAGCAGCTTCACTCCTAACTTACGCATCTCAGTGGAGAGTGCAGTTCAGCTCGCATAATGTTGGCTGTATGGGAATGGAACATCTAATGTAATTCA